TGAAATTATATTATCCGATGTCATATAGAAATTACACCAAAAATTTAATTCATAAAAATTAAATTTTATTTTTAAACAACCAAGCTGTAAACAGCGCCATGATGGAACATGTTCACGTCGCCTTTGATCGGATTAATACCAACAGAATAAACAGAATAATATACGACAACAGATTTTTCTTGAATATGTATTTCATACACATAGCTAATTTTGTATCACTGTTATATTATTGAATTCAAAAGATGGGCTAAACTTTCTTGCCCACTTCACGTCAATTTATATAATATCTAAATTGACCACTATGAAGACAAATGACCTACGTAACACAGAAAATTATTACATGTCTATGTAGGTGAGCTTTGTCTTTTTCCAAAACTAGGTTGGGGGCGTCTTTTTTCTGTGAAGCTGTAACGCTCCCGAAAGAGAAAACTGAACGGGATCGGGAGAGGACCGATCCCGAGCTTAAAATCCTCCGAGCCGGCGGCGATACCAACCGTTGACGGGGTCGTGGAGAGTTATGACCTCTGGTGGCAAATTAACTGCTGCGGTAGGCGATAGGATGGCGGCCTGGTCGCAAAAATGCGATCGGGCAGCAACATATTATAAGGATTGGGCCCAAAGGCGGGGGAAGCCCGCGGCCTCCCCGGCATAGTACTTTACTACTTTTAGTACCTGAAATAACATGGTGCGGGTCCTCCTCGGAGTAGGGCGCCTGAGTCCGGTCGTCAGGGTGATGTTTACTGGAAACACCACATACTCCTGGCTCCTACATCCCCAAGGAGGCGCAGATCCGAAGGGATTTTCCACCCTGTCAACAAAAAAAAAAGGTTGGTGTCGTCTTTCTACGATTTTTTCGAACCAGGGCCGAAACTTAATAATAGCACCCCCTCTCTAGCGTTTGAGGTAAATAACTTTAAAAAACTCACAAATATATTATGATGGTTGACATTTTTCGTGATTGGGAGGTAACAATATATTGTTTTTTTTTAAACCGTATTATATTATGATGTTGGCACCCCCTGAGACTGGGCGGGAGCCCAGGTTTCCCCGCCTCTCCTAGATCCTCAGCTGCGATACGGCTAAACTTCGATTTTTTAACAGTGTAAAGTAATTCTTTTGTTCCATTTCACTAAGTTAGTGAAGTTTGGGAGAACCAAACTCATCCCTAGCATTAGATGGCTGGGGAAGGGATACCCTCTTAAGTTGCGGGTCCATGAGCGGCGGTAGTCACTTACTATCAGATGACCCGTCTATATGATCGTTTGCTCCCTATGCCAGAAACATTCTGTATACAATATACAATACAAATAGTTATAAACATAGAGCAAGTCGGTAGGCTGTGTTGCTCTATGGTTATAAATATTTAGCTCTTAGCATAGATGTCAATATGTTCAAATACTAATCTCTATATCAGGTGTTGCCATCAAACACACCTTCGTATGTTTATCATTAGTAAAACCAGTTAGAACCTAAAACATCGTACAATTAAAACGAGTCAATTTTTAACTAACGAAAGAGTGGGAGAGAGATTACGACTCTATTCTCATCACCACATCCAATCATCGTAATCTGAGACGGACCAGCCACAAAACGCCACAAAATTAAATAAAGTTAGAGACATAACTACTGGCTTCTGAAAACCACAAAATACGTAGCCAACTTTTGTAATATATTCAATCAAAAAAAATTCTTAACTATAAAGTAGGTAATTTACCAACAGGCATGATTATACTATTTTTAATGGTTATGAGTGGTAGGTAGTGATGATTGATGAAAAGTGGTAGTGCACCCCTTTTAGGTAAATGAAGTTTGAATAAAATTTGAAACTTCTTTAATGTAAACCATAGTGCCTTTATAAAACTTCGATGGACAGACCAATCGTCGACTCGTTTATTACACAGATTGTCAACTTCACCTTTGCAAAGAAGGTTCCAAATATTAACAAAAAGCTTAAACAGTTTTAAACAAAACAATATTGTATTAAATGCAAAATTTTATTGATGTTACGATTGAAAGGATATTTATTTAAAGTATTTATAATCAAAATGTACTTTTCTTTTTCTAATAACTAAGACGTTTATATAATGCGATAACTAAAACATTCTATAAAATATTTATAAGCAGTAGAAGGTTCCTATAATTTATAACTTAGGCAGACGTATGTCTGAGCATAATTTTACGAGAGCATCTCACCTGTCCCTGCCTACAGTTCGTCGCCATCTGTCAAGAAAATAATACAAGCAATATGTTTCATGTTATCTCTACAACGACATCCACATTTTCTGTTTGTAGGCAGCCCGAGATTTATTTTTCCAACTTTGTTATGGATAACAATCATTCTACGACGCGACAGCAAGTTTTACTACACACCTAAAGTATAATCTGCAATGTACCTACCAAACAAACTCTTAAACTCTCTAAACCATAGACGGCAAGTAAAAATGTTTTTTTTTTTCATTTATAAAAAGGAACTTTAGTAATCTTCTTCCTACCTGAAGCAATATACACCTTAAAGTTTATCTTTAAAGAAAATATAACCAAATTATACTCCACCAAGACTGTGACATGGTAAATCATAAAATAAAATAGTAAAGCCGTCAGCTAACTGAATTGTTATCGCTTTTGACACAAGGCAGAATTTTATGGTCCCTTAGTACCTACGGATTTTGATAGTGTATGTTTACGACGCATATCTATTATCGCAACTTTGTTTAGGTACCGAGGTACTTTATCTTAGCAAAAGTTTTCACTGTTAATGTTTCAGCAATTACATATTTAAAGATGTTATTGAGGTTAACTAAAAATGTATCCTTAGGGAACTGATGACAAATATTTGATTTAGGTATAATTGTATATTTTTTTGATTCGTCTCATTTTACTACTTATTAATGTAGGTAGGTTTACCTACTTCTCGCTGTAATGATATGAATTATTCTTCTGGCCATTAATTTCTCGTAATAGTATAATATTTTACGACAGGATAATATAACCAACCTAACCGAAAATTAAAAAATATTTCATTTTGATGAGAGTTGTAAATATCTTTAATGATAAATAATGTAAGAAATATATATATATATTTATAACTAGATAATGACAAGTCATATGTAGCCTCATTATTAATTGAATTTCCACTACAGTCAAGATCGCCAGATAGTACCTACTGCAAAAATACTAGCCTACTGTCACATCACATTACATCAACAGCCTGTAATAGTCCACTGCTGGACATAGGCCTCGCCTCAGAAATGAAGTTTTGGCCTGCTATACCATGCTGGCCAGACGGGTTGGTATAGGGTTTGTGTCAAGTTTTCCTTCTCTTTGCAGTGCTGTTATCCTGCGTAGTTTGCTCCCTTAGTCGATTTTTGCGACACCCACGGGATGAATAGTGTTGACATTCTGTATTATTGATTCGTCACCACACGGACACAACTGCACACACACGAACACTAGCCTACTGTAAAAGTATTAAATTGCAAAAAAATTGTAGGTATGCGCTCCCACAGTACATCACTATTTGCAACTAAAAAATGTGAGGACAGGGCGAAAATCGCTAATAATATACCCACTGATTGACTTATTGTGTAGGTAGGCATTTTTTTTAAATAGCCTGATAGTAATAGCGTGCCTGCCTACTCCAAGACAAGAATTCTAGTCTGTTCAGTTCTGTTCACTGTTCAGTAACTGCGAAGATTGCAAATTTAGCAATATAATCTGATGTTTGATTTGTATATCAATGTTTATAATGACCATTTACGGTTTTATACACCGATGCTACCATAGAGAGAACATGGGGTACAGCTGCCTGTCAGTGGAAGCGATACAGGCAACGAGAGAGAAAGATGCCCGATATTTCCCTTTGTCTCTGTTTAACTTAGATGCGATTGACTACTTATTAACCCCTCATATTCCCCAACCAACTACAGAGCCCTGCTAAAAAGAGATAGAGGGAGCTGTCTATTATCCATCTCTCTCGTTGCCTGTATTGCAAGATTGGGGGCCCTTGTTCTCTCTAGGTTATATCTCTATGGATGCTATTACTATGAAAATTCTATTTCAAAAGTAAAATGAAATGAAATTATAATTTTACACCCATTACCTAAAACAAGTTTACCATATATATATATATATCATTTTCATGTTAATAAGAATGTTATGCCGAATGAAATAAACCAAAATAATTAAGTACATCACCATTTCCAAACTTACTTATTAGATAACTAAACTAACAGTAGGTAACATAAGTTCTTTAAAATATAGCTTAGAAAATATAACTAGGTAAATACACAATTATTTATATGAGGTTACAACTGTTAATTTCGATAGAACTTTTAACAAATAATTAACTTCTTGTATGTTATTTTCAGTGTATCAAAGCAAATGCGGACCTGGGTGAGTCTGTTTGATTCAGTAGTGTGCTTTGCACTAACATGCTTTGAAAATACAGGGACTTACTTCAGAATACCCATGTTGTAATTATTTAAGAAATAAAAAGTCATGCATTTCTCATAATCACACAACGCACAGAGAAACTGCAAACTTTTTATCTCGACAATATTATAGTTTATTTGTATTCTGAAAGAGTCAACGATTCTATTTGCGTGCAGTCGCTACAGCGAAATTGTGCATGCGAACCATATTTAAAAAAAAATAGGTACACGCCGATCGGGGCAAGCATGCAGTCGGCGTCCCTTACAGTTAACCCTCCAATCTCTATAGGTATCTATCTAGGATAGAGGGTACAACAGATGAGTGTGAGCCGTGTTCAGTGTTCCAGGCCAGTGCCTCTGCATCAGTCGCCGCGGCCGGTGCGGTGCGGTGCGACAGTGCTCACAAAACTTAGCTTGCCTGTATTTATAAACTGAGTATTTTAGATTGATTAGAGGAGTAAAGTGTGATTATAGTGATATTAGTGATTTATAGTAGCATGATTAAATTCATAAGTGTTTTTAAAGTGTAAGAGGTGCTTATTTAAAGAAAAAACTAAAATTTATTTAAAATTACGAGTATATTGGTTGTCGCACAGGTATTAATCGTTCAGTAGGTAGTAATTTGACAACACAGTCAGTGCAATAATCAGTGCCCGCATTATCAGTCCACCGAGCACCTAAGAATCCACTTTTTTGACAACCAACACACATTGTCTTAGTCTGATACACCGGGGCTGTTTCATCAATTAACCTTTGTTCTTTGGCAGATTTTAGCAACTCTACCAGATATTTGTTACTACTTTTGGTATCAAATGAAGAGATGCTATCATGTGCTTCACCAGTGTCATAAGGATCCTCCATAGTAACTGGAACATGGAGTTGCGGGAAGAATGTAGATTTTTTGTAAAACATTGATTTCTTTTTATCTCTACCGATGCCTTTTGGTATCCGTCCGGGTATTGGTAAGCCGGCCTTGGCTAGTTTAGTAAAGTATTTCTGGATTCTACTTATAACCTGAATAGGAGTTCTAGTCCCCAAGGCTTTAGCTATTTTTTTATAACGTTGAGCCTCAATAGGCTCTTCAGGATATACTTCAAGCAACTCTTCTAACCTTTTCTGCTCCTCGCATGACCATAGCTGGTTAAATGTCTCTGGTTTATTGTCTGTGAACTTTCTGCCCCTAACCTTTGTACCAGAGTCTAAATCATCAACATGTGGTTTTGATTCTCTTATGTCGTCACCATCAAGTGCTGCGTCAATCCCATAACTGCTCCAATTAATGTTTGGCAATTCTGAAATAGTTTGTCTTGGAGGAAAATTCTGTTTGCCAGCTTTTAGCTGTTCAATGAAATTAAGAGGATTACTCAAAGCTTCATTTTGTGCTAGAGATAAATCCTCTATGTCTTTTAGTGCCTGAACTTTTTGTGCCTCTAACTTTACAATGTACTTTAACATTTCACAGTAATCTTTATTGCCACGAAGGGCGAGGTGGTCAGTTTCAAAGGCGAACTCTTCGTCTGACTCTTGATTTTCAGATTCTATTATATCCATTTCCATTATAGTTATCTGTAAGAAAAGCAATATTATGATTAGAAAAAATATATTACATAAAAATGAACGTTACTTCGGGTATAAAACTGCCTAGCAGTCCTAAGAAGTTAAGTATTAAAATTAAAAACAAAATAAACAGTGTACAACAAAAAAAATGTAAACCTGAAAATAGGAGCACTTCACTGGAAGGATGGGCTGGACGGTAAGTGAATCAATTTGTAGATTTACTGCAGCAATATCCTAATGCCAGATTTAAGAGAACACAAATACTCAGTCAGGAACACAATGCACATTAATCAACACATGACTGCAAATCTTTGTTTGTTACATTCTATGCATTCTATGAATTAGTCGTAACTGTCATCCTGTCAAACTGATACAGAAAATGCGTTCAAAAAGGTTACATTCCTAATAAAAGTTTTTGTTTATGTATGTAAAAATCAATGGAAATTTATAAATATTGTTCAGTTTGTGAAATGAGCTCAATAATTTGGTTTAAAATAATTATTTTATAATCGAAATATTTTTACTAGAAACGCACTTCATGATGTTCAGCGTTACGACATCTAGTAGGGGCTTAAAGAACTTACAATAAGTTTCCCAAGAAAACCCGTGCGAGCTCGTTGGCGCTCTCGCTCAACATTATTCCAAACATTACACTTGTTGTTGCTTAACCCCGCCGAACACAGATGGCGCTGTATAACTTAACCAAAATTGGTATAAAATATTTTATAAGTTTCTGAAATAATGAATAACAGCGTTTTTTTTTATCCTTACAATAGATACCTAATCATTTTTATTAAAAATCGAGACTTGCCAAAATCCCTCATTTAACAAAAACAAAATAACCTACAAATCAGTTGCTTAGAAAGTCTGGACGGATTCGTAAGGCTGCTAGCAAATAGTATCTTTTTGGATTATGGTATCCTATAAAATGAGCAATTTATTGTTTTCTACGCATCAAGCATTTGATTTGAGACATAAAACCATTACTCAAACCATTTTGGAAGCAACGTGACTCTCACTAAAATGTGCTAGAAAAGCCCTAGTGCTAGAAAACATTTTCCAACAATAGCTATGTTTTGAAGTAAAGTTGGTATAAATAATTAAAAAAAATAGTTGAACCGACTTCAAACAACACTGACAAAGAGCACTAAAAATAATTACAAATGGAATTAAAACAGCTATTTTTAAATTTAATTTAATTTTTAGTGCTCTCTGTCAGTATTCTTTGAAGTCGGTTCAACTTTTCTTAAAAGGATTTATTTTACAATTTTTAGTGTAAGATATGTTTGTAATGAGTAGATAAGTACGATATTTGAAACACTATGTACCGTAATGTATACCAAACTGTAGTATGTTAGAGTAAATTAAATATAGAATAGAATAGAATATTTTGCAAATATGGGTAATACATGATAGGTGTTACAGTACATTGAAGCTCAACCATATTATAGTTTAATAAGTCCGTTACTTTAGTTAGATAAGGTAGTAAGATTTGAACCCGAAAATATATTGTTTTCCACATTAATTAATTTTCATAAGACTAGTATAGGTATACAACACAAATGGTTAATGGTTACAATGGTTTCATTTGTACTTTCATAGGTATTTGTTCTTCACATTTTAATGGAACTAAATATATCCTTCCAAATAAAAAAAAAAAATTTTCGTAATCTAATTCCAAATAAAAAAAAGGTTTACAAATGAAAGAGTTTTGAGGTAACAAACTTGAAAATAATAGCGTAACAAATACTTTTTTTGTCTAAATGTTTTGTAATCACACATACTCGTATTACTCTTTTGTGCACATGTCTCTGTAACCCAACACAAACATCTAACAAATATCTTGAAAGAACAAAAATAAGATCAATACATGATAAGATATTTGAAATAGTTATCCTCTAACTATTTCAAATATCTTATCATGTATTGATCCTTCCTTCCATCATCAGCTCAACAACATGACATAACGACTACTAAACGCAAATACCTATAAAGCTAGAGAAATAAGCTAAAACACGGGGTCGGAAGTCGGGGTTGTAAAATTTCAGGGGTTTCCCTCGATTTTTCTAGGATCCCATCATTAGATCCTGATTTGGTGGTAGTGGGACCACATCGGGAGCATACCCTATCGATTACAAAAAATATTTTGAAAATCGGTCCACAATTACAGACGAATTGATAACCTCCTCTTTTGTGTTTTTAAAATCGGTTAAAAATAAACTTTTTTATGAGTCAGCGTCATAGCTGTTCATAAAAACTTTTCTTTTAAAACTATATCATCTTCTTAACACGATTTTTATTGGACTTTGAAGAAAGGAAAGCTTTGATTTATCGACTGAGAACTCATAGGAATCCTTTGGACAAGACCAACTTGATTTTCGGTTCTATATTAAAGCCAATTTTTTAATTTTAATTTACTATAATTATTATGACCGTTAATGATCAAACTATTAATTTTCATTATGTTCCAACTTTGTTCTCGGAGACTGCCTTACATGGCGACTTACATAAAACGGAACACCTTATGGTTTTAGTCGTATCGATTCCGACCTGTCACTTCGCCTTCAGCCCCGATGATGTTTCAGCGCGGTAAAAAGAAGAAAAATATGAATATTCTTAGTTTTGACTACAGGAAAACATTTATATAAATGAAATGATATTCACCAAAAACAAGTCTTATTTCTACAAATACAGGATAGATACATTTGGATAGAAACAAGTTTAAAGTAACTGTAACAAAAAGAGATGTCAATTTTGTATGGACGTTGGTTTTATATTCCGAGTAAAAGCCATTATGGTTCCAATTACACTGATATAAAGCAGCTAAAATTAGGATTTAGGAATTTGTTAGATAATAATTTGTTAATCGTGCATTTAAGAGAAAATCTAAAGTTTTTTTATGTTTGTAGTTATTTTTATTGGAGTATGGCTACCAAAGATGCCACATAATAGTGTTTATTCACAAGATAAATCAATAGTAGGTGACGCTTTCCATCTAAATATGACGTAGTCTATCAATTTGTCTTATTTGTTGAAATCTTAAAATTCTTCATAGCATACTAAAGTAAACAAAAAAAATAATAACAATAAAACTGTCAACTAGGGCCTAATCAGAACCGACATCCATGTGTCACGCGTGACGCGTCAACAGCGACTAATGTCACCCTTGTCATTGTATTAGGCGTCGGTAGTAAAAGTTTTGTTCGTATTCGGCCTAAAAAATATACCAAAGTAAAAACAATGAGTTCTCAAAATTGCAGTAGCATAACATTTTATTTAAAAAGTTAAAACATTAGTACCTCCAAAGATATTTGGTTCATCGCTACTGGACTTTTTGAAAAATAAAAAACCATTTCTGGACAACTCCTTGAAGTTTCTTAATTTTTGCGACGTGATTTGAAATTGATTATGGCTTTCTTTGTTATCCACTTTCATGTCAGGCCTGCCGTGGACTGAGTTTTACTTTAACTTTAACCCACTAGTAGAGAATTAGTTTTATAAATTTAACAGACAGATACGTATTTATAACAATGTGATAGGAACCAACAATAGCTATTATTTTGCCCAGTTCAAAAATAATAAGTCAATACATATAAAATGTACATCTCAATAACAATTCCAATAATAATTATTTTCTTTAGAATATGTTCAAACTAGCCGACCCGAGCAACTTCGTTTGCTTCTCTCAAAACGCATAAATGTACCCCGTGTTCGCAAATTTTTTTATTGATACTCGTCTCCTATTGGTCGTAGGCCAAAACCTCCTTTCTAAGGAGAGGCCTATGTCCAGCACTGGACTATTAAAGGCTTATGATTATGATTGGTCGTCGTAGATTTTACATAATTATAGCTGGGCTGAGTACTTCCTGAGATTACCCCGAACATACAAACTTACAAACTTTACCTCTTTATAATATAAGTATAGAGTAAAAATAACGTCTTATAGACCCAGTGGTATCAGCTGTGCGTTGATCGATCAGTCAGTGAATCTAGATAGAGGCTGGTTTAAAACTAACCGTTCCCTGTAAGTACTCAATTACATTGCAGACAAAATATTTATTGAAACGCTAGGGAATACTGTCGAGTTTGCTAAACTCGGTCAAACTGTCAGCACCACGGAGAAGGGTTCAGTGCCATTTTGAATTCAAATATACATAAACTTTGTAAACTCGTTCGCGTCACAGAGCAAATTTGGAACTGATTTTTTTGTGCGCAAGGAGAACATAATTATCGTGATGAAAAGAAATAAACCTTTTTTCTTTTGTGACCCTACGTTTGGTACGGTTCTCTTATTTAAAATGACAACACGACATCTCCTACAACACGCCTGTTGATGTGACAGATGTAATACGAGTAACGCGATTTCGTGACTAAGTCAAGAACAACTGGAAGTTCGTAGAGACAGTTACCGAAGACTTAGACTTAGATCAAGTGAAAAAGAGTTAGTAGCCAGATTGAAGAGGAATACACCATATGGAACCTAGGTAGTACTGCAGAATTTAGTCCAAGTTACCACATTGTTATTAGTAGGAGACCCTTCAACACCAAACTTAATTTTATAAACCGTTAACATCTTTTTCATACTTACACTATATCTAGTGTACAGAACTGGTCATGTTTAAAGGGTTAAACCACTGATACCCAAAGTTATATATGTACAAACCCCCAGGGGTTGACATCGAATAATGTTAATCAACGATAAATAATTTCTTTAGAGAAATAAATTAAATCGCGCTCGATATTGGAGTGGTCTATTATCCTCAGGATACTATATTTGTGTGTGCTTTATATGCACAATAAAAATTTAAGAATTCAATATAATTCTAATGAAACATCGCAGATTTTGTTAATTAATAAAGACCAACCAGATTAATTAAGTGCGCAAACTTATCAACTACTTAATAAAGCATTCAAAATAATAGTATCATTGGAGACGTGCGTAACCCACTTTAGCATGTTTTGCGCAGCATGAAGACTGTTGACTTGTTTAACTACGCTAGTGCTACGTGTAGTGTTATAAGTACATAAATAAAACAATGAAATACCAACCGCAAGAGATTATATAGATCAGATATTGTAACTAGGAACTATATGTGTGTACCGTGTAATAATTCATTCAAGTCACATCTTTTCTACAATCATGAAATTCATAATCTTCATTTTATCCCTTGAGATTTATTAAAATAGTACTTACAGAGAGAGAGTCTCTTTATAAACAATTCAATAATGAATAAAACTTAGTACAACAAATACAACAGTTTTGAGCTTGTATATAATATGTATTTGTTTGTTTTTATACGTTTCGCCGAATTTGTACTTCATACCTTGCCTGTGCCATATAAAAGTAATTTCCGCTTCGATTGTAATGAAGGTGTTCCAGGTCAGTAAGCAGGTGGGCGTTAGTTTGAAAGGGATGAAAATGAAGTAGATCTGGTTCTATACAGAATTTCGCTTGATTTTTAGGGTTCCGTACCTCAAAGGAAAAAACCCGTCCGTCCGTCCGTCTGCCTGTCAAGACCCTTTATCTCGGAAACGCGTTGAGGTATCGAATTGAAATTAAAGCCATATACTCAGGTCTATAGTTCTTTGAAGCTGTGAAAACATCAAACATCTAAGTTAACGAAAAATTTTTTACCTCCGTTTATGTCGCAAAAAACGCATATTTCGACACTGTCAAAGAAATCAAAATTCATAGGGAACTTACCGTTGACCTATAATTATGAAACATCGTTAGAAACAAGTAAAACTTCCCTTACTAAACACAATTTAAGTAATTATAGGTTTTGGAAACTGAATTTCGGAAAAAGCTCGGTAAAATTGTGAGACTCGATTCTTGAACTATTTATAATAATTACCTACAAATTTGTACGGGACCCTTGGTGAGCGAGTCCAACTTGCACTTGTCTGGATTTTTATTCTCGGAGTCATTCAGTTATTCAACCCTAGTAATTTTGTCGTCACAATTTGTAACAATCAGTACCTATTCAAGCTCATCTTTATGATATCGTCCTGATTACAATCGAATGAAATTTAGAATTCCTCGATTAAGTGAGACCATACGAACGCGTTCAGTTCTCAGTAAGATTGAGGGTTTAAAAAATTTTAGATAAATAAGTAAATAATAAGAGGTTATTACAGCTTCCAACGAATCCATATGCAAGGTGTTCGTGTGAGGGCTTTGAAACCCCAGTTGTATTTTTGAAATAAAAAATTATAATTGTGGAGTGCTGTTAAATCCAACGTTTTCCTTCGCAAAAATGGTTTCAGTTGTAAAAATAAGACAAACATAAAGGTAAGACCACATAAGTTTGTAGGTTGAAATTCAAGCGATAAAAAGAAACGCCAACATACTAAGATCAAACCTACAACATTTAAGGTTTTCACGGTTGTTAAAATGACGTAAGAGGTTTTACGAACACAGTAACACTAAGTTATTATAATAATAATTACTTGGTAATGTAGTTCATTATTGACTCATCTCGAGAATTGTGAAAATAATCAAGTCTACGAAAATTGAATTATTAATTAATTCAATTTTCGGGTCAAGCTGATGGTATATGGTTAAGGTTTATTTAATGTCAATATCTCTTTCTTAATAAAAGTCTTGTTGTTTTAGTACACACTAGACTGCTGCCCGTGGCTTTGCCCGTGGCATAAAAAGTAGTCAATGTATTATTCCAGACTACTGGGTTTCTTAAGAGACGACTAAGCAAGCAAACTACGCAGGACAACAGCACTGCAAAGAAAAGGACAATTTGATACAAACCCTATATCAAGCCATCTGGCCAGCGTGGTATAGTAAACCATTTTTTACTGTCTTCTATTGCGAATTTCATATGAAATTGACAAGATCCATAATACCGCATTCCCAACATAAAAGATTTACAAAACAAGAACACAAAAAGAAATACGTGCGTAAACCTTCTATGGAGGCAATATTTGTAACATAAATGTGTTGTATTCCGTAGTTTGTCAAAGGCGAATTCTATTACGAATGGGGATTGAAAAGGCTTTTATTATGTATGTATATTGAAGGCCTCAATTCCACATCAATCTTAAATCATAGTGAATGCTGTAGAGCAAGAAATAGATCAAAAAGATGAGGTCAAAATATTACGTCCATGTCGTTATATAGGAATAGGAATCCTCTTAACTTAGCGATTTATAAGCGCTTCTATTATCAAATAATTTAACTGCCATAGGCGTTCGTATTTACTACCGACTGCCTACCTAAGGTATACGACCACTTGAAATAAGCCCAAGGTGTACACGCTTCTTTATTTTTCCAGAAGTCAAAAAATTAAGAAGCTATTTACGAGTATGCTAGACAGATCAATTTTTCTTTTATTCTGTTTTAAAATACTTTAACCGTAGGGAGCTCATACCCCATAAACACTCTTACGTTACGTTAGGCTTAAATCTACTCTTCTATTCATTTTTCCAAATCAATTCGAAACACTCCAAAACAATTTTTATAGAAATTTCAAGTCAAAAATGTGCACAACGTGCCAAAGATAAATGAAATTTTATCTGGCCTTTAGTTGCTTGATATATGTTTGACAATTTGTAGGTCACGGCCACTCATAAAGTGTTATATTTATTTTTCTATAATTTTAATTATAAATGTATGAAATGGTTATTTGCTGACTGTACAGTGGAAGTCCTCATTTGCTTTTATACTTCTATCTGCATTGGCGACGATCCCATAAACTTTGGGGAATCTATACACTAGCTACACATTATCGATGTTGTTTATATTTTTCACTGCATCTGTAGTAGACTACTTTATATAAGGATTTTGAGCATAGAAACTATTTATAGCCAGAATGACGTCACTATTAGACACAGCCATTTTTGGCGATGCTCCGCAAATAAAGCGTTCATTGACATGACCCGGTCAACCACTGTAAACATCTGCAGAATATTTGGTCTTGCACTTTATAAATTGCAATTCAATCTGTCTGACCTGTACACACATACTGTTAATATATGTTTCGAAGATCGAAGAAGAATCTAAACTGTAGTAATTAATTATTGAGTGGAGTGTGTCCAGAAATAATATTCCTGAAATCGTCTTTTTTACAAGCCATATCGGCTCATATTATACAGATCCAATTTAAGTATGTGGGGGAAAACCAAAGAATAGCGGTGAGGCAAACTGTGAACAGTACCCGTATTTAAAGTTGCCTTTACTGCCTAAACCCATTCCTCAGGTTTGGCCCCAGTGACTTCTAATTATGCCCAGCACAAGGAACGAATTAGGGAAAAGAAATTGTTTAGCATAGCAAGACTAGTTAAAAACTATGTTAAATTGAAATATAAATTTCATGAATGCCTCAATCAGTCCGCCTTTGTCCAACATGAGCATTAAATTTTAAATAAATAAATATATAGCCTAGTGTTATTCATTGAACCCACAACTACCCTAATAATAATAACAGTAACAGTAATATATTTTGCACAAATGGGCTAACATTATATACCATTGCAATAGGGGGTTATATATAAATCGCTGGGTTCGCAGGTCTGTAGTGTGAGTAGGTTTTTAGCCGCGCACCCACGGATAAAAGCCAGTATGAGTTTGAATGTCACCGACGTTGACGTTAATTTTAATCGTACAAAATGCACAACTGATTTTTAATTAATGAATCATCGTGTGTTTAATTTGTATAGTGGACGAATTTAGACCATAATTCATGAAGTTTAAAATGTTTTGTATTTAAATCATTGAACACTATAACAAATCATACTGTCATTGTATAGAAATTTCGCTACTTGTACGTAGCATATTATAAACATAATTGTATACTGCGTGTGTGTAGCTTGACGTAGCCGTTTTTTCGTAATGCTAAAATTTCTAACACAACGTTTAAAAATACTTGCTTTAGGAATTTCTGTGTATAAAATGTAATGTACCTTAAGTAATCAAAATTTCAAACCCGCCCTCAAAACTTTCTCAAAAACGCATATGAATACATAAAATGCATTTTCTTTACATATTATTCTAATATAACGAATGATTTAAAAATAGCGAATGACATTTAAAAGAAAATATCAGTCTGGATCAATCTGTGTATGAAAAACCTAATCCTTATTCAGGTATAAACTGTATAATATACGCATCCTGTACATCTGAGCTAGCAATTACCAAAACATGTAATTGCAGAAAATCTTTCTTAGATCTGACAACAACCAATCTTCTTTTAAGTCATTTCAAGCTGTCGGCCTCAGGTAAAACTACGTATTTATCATAAGAAAGGCACGTGATATCATTTTATGTTAAGATTTCTGCTTAAGGTCACTGGTTCTCAAAGTGAGTGTCACGGACACCTGACATTTATAGTCATAATAGAAATGTCGGAATTGCACAATAGAACGATAACCTTCCGTAAGTTAGTCCTTTCTCAATGCATAGGCCATAATATGGTTAGTATTCTGGCCGAACACCTCCTTCCACATTTCTTTATTATAATCTTGAAATTAAGGGAACTATGTAAAATTAATTTACATAACAGGAAGTATTAAAAAAAAAGGATACAATTAAGTTTAATTTTGGTGTGTTTTTATTATAATGGCAAACATAACATAAAAACATGTGATTGTGTTCTAGGAAAAAGTAAAATATTTTTTTCAGCTATATATACTTTGATCTCTTTGAACATATTTTTTACTTATAGGAAGACCCCAAAGCATACAGTTTGAGAAACAACGACTTACACGTGTTTTCATACAGTACACTTCGTTATTTGTTCAATAGTTAACGACAAGTACTCTGGGGTCTTGAACTGTTGATCTAAAATTTACAACATGGATATAAGTATGTTTTACGCGTTTAAGAATGTAATTTATTTTAATTTTATTTTGGGCGATTTGGCGATTGGGCGATTAGGCGATGCTGAGAAAGAATGAGGTAGGTGCATTTATGGGGAGGGGGAATAAATGATAGAGGTCTAATCAATCCATATTTAGCTTGGACATAAATATCAACAGATATATTAAACAGAAAAGATGAAAACCACATCATCCGAGGGACCTATTGCCGTCCTCTGCTGAACAAAGGCCTCCCCCAAGGAGCGCCAACCATCCCGTTCTTGGGCAATCTGCATCCATCAGCTGCCAGCCATTTTCCTCAAGTTGTCGGTCCATCGTGCCGCAGAGCACAGTCTTCACTTTAGAACATGCCGGTTCCAGCGACCATCAGTCCGCCTGGAGACCTGACCGGCTCAGTTCCACTTCAACGCACTGATTCTCTGTGCGATGTCGGTTACTTTAGTTCTCTATCAAATAGCTTCGTTTTGAATTTTACCGACTAGAGAAACACCCAGCATCGCACGCTGAGCGACTTTAAACTTGTTTACTGGCGCAATGGTGAGTGTTCACGTCTCGGCTCCGTATATCTTGGTTGGTTTTTAGCGGTTTAAGGATCAAAGCTCAAGCTCAGCTCGAAGATAAAATGAAGGTGTCCATAACCCGCCTAGCCAATACAAATTCTTCTATTAGCCTCCTGATTGAAGTTGCGCCAGCCGAGTTGGATAGTTTGGCCAAGATGAACGTATTCTTGCTCAACCTCAATAGCATCGCCATTTATGGCCATGGGTCTTGGGGATGTACGCTTATTAAACAAAATCTTAGTCTTACTAATGTTCATCGCATTTTCTTTTTTTGTAATCCACTACATATCTAAGGCTGTATAAATTCTGGAAGCTGTGCAGGATGGTTATTGGAGTGCAGATTTAAAAATGTTACCGTGTAAAAGTAATTATAAGCACTACTTGATCTGTAACTGTACCTTATGTAAATAAATAAATGTACTTAGAATTATTTATAATACTTTCGAAAATGGTATTTAGATTTAGTAGAGCCAAATAGCCAAAAATCTTAATACTAGAACTAAAATCATATGCATCTTCCTAGACTTAGCCAAAAGCTTTCGAGACGGTTTCTACTCTTAACCTTTTTCTCGAATTGGAGAGTTTATGTATCAGAGATATCACCCTGAATCTATTTCGTGATTATCTCACGAACCGTAGCCAATGAATTAAGGTAAACAATTACATAAGTGATGAGGTGAAACTAATTCATGGTGTGCCAAAGGGTAGTGTACTGGTTCCGACTCTCTTTCTTTTGTACGTTAATAGATAGTGCCAACTCACAATAGCAGACTGTAAGATCTTCGTCTATGTAGATGACACCGCGCTTGTCATTAGTGCTAAAACGTAGGACTCTTTCTATCGTGTAGCGGAACTTGCGCTAGGCATAGTAATGAACTGGCTTTCGTCTAATTTACTTACACTAAATGTGTCCAAATCCCATTATATACCTTTCTCAGCGAATACAGTCAGCCTATTATGCCGGATATTAAAACTCTCAACAAGTATAGTGTACAACAAGAATTCTTGTGTTGTATACCTGGGTCTTTACATTGATAACACACGGAATAGGCAGGAGCGTATCGATCTAACAATGTCGAGAGTTCGTAAATTAATGTTACCCATGAAGAAATTAAGAAGAGTAGCTGATGGCACTCTTTTAAAAACGATCTATTTGCTTAGCGCAGTCACTTCTTACTTGTTGCAGATCTGCTTGGGGGCGCAAGAGCTGTCCTAAAGGTCATGCTTCACAAACCATATCGCTATCCAACAACCCAGCCATTTAAAGAGATATCTGTTCTCACTCTGTGCCCTTCGTATTATTTTACATTCATCATTAACCTACGATCCTAAGTTACTGGAGCATAAACGACGTAAATATCTTGTCTGTCCAACTACGAGTATAGCTGCCAAAGCACATCTATACAACACTATCAACAAAATTTGAAATATATAGGCCTTACCCTAAGTAAAATGTAAACGTGTTGTTGTTAGTTACCTTCAAGGATTGACCCATAGTCAGACTGAGCAACTATTTTCAAAATAACTAACTGCGAATTATTGGGAAAAATGAAATTAAAAGGTACCATTTCTATGTCTACCACTCTGACATTCCATAACCAATATGTTTGTTTTGCCCAGATGTCGTACTAATCTTGGAATAAATTCGACAATTGTAAAAATGTGCATGTGCAATACGTACAATTATTAAAACGCGAAGAATTTTGGAAATCTGGATATATATTGTAAAAAACAAGCACATTTTAAAAGGTATCATAAATAAATGTATGGTATCAATTTAAGGCAATAAATTTATATTGAGTGAATTGTGCTTAGCATTAATGTAAACATGAGCTTAAAGAATTTCGTTAAAATGTAAACTTAAGAAGGTGTTCAAAGTTGTCAGTCATGAGTTTCAGACGTTCATGGGCGGCGACGGTCACTTTCCATCATGTGACCTGTCTGCTCGTCTGCCCCCTCTAACATAAAAATTGAAAAAGGGAAGTTATGTGAATTGTCATAGATATTTATGTCTCAAGGTAGTTAAGATAAAATGGCAGAAGCTGTGGACACATATTATTTTTATCTTCTCATACAAATTAAAAGGTTGTAGTCTTCAGGCAACTAGTGTGATTAGGGACCTGGGTGTTTTACACGACGGTAAATTGCTGTTTGACCGGCACATCGAACATATTATTGACAAAGCTTACAAAGCACTTGGTTTCATAATTCGCGTTTCCAGACCTTTTAAGCATATGAAAACAATAAAAATTCTCTACTGTGCCTATGTACGCAGCCATCTCGAGTTTTCGAGCCAAATTTGGAATCCCTGTTATAATGTCTACAGTAATAACATAGAGAAAATCCAAAAACGGTTTATCAGATACTTAGGTTTTAAATTCAAACTACCGCATCTCGATTACGAACAGCAATGCAATAAACTACATCTTTTGCCTCTTTCTCTCCGTAGGAAAATAGCTGATATCTGTCTCCTCTTAAATATAGCTCAAAGCAGGTTAGACTGTCCTGATGTCCTTTGCAATATTAAACTTAATGTGCCCACCAGAAATTTGCGTTCCAGTAGTCTACTCCATGTTCCATTTTGCCACAGTAATTATCGGTATAACAGCTACATACCCAGGGTTTCTAGATCTTTTAATAGACTAAACTACAGTGAACTCATAGATCTATTCTGCAGTAGCACCAGAAACCTCAAAAATGTTATATCTTTAGATCCTAAACTGTTGTAACTATCTATGTATGTGTAAGTCTATTTAGTATGTATTATTATAGATACCAGCACTGTTTTCTGTCTACATGTGGAAGCTTGTAAATGGCATCTAGATAATTAACATAATATGTATTTTGTAAATTTAGCCGTAAGCTCTCCAAATATAATAAAATAAAATAAATAAATTTTTTGTATCTACTTGTTAAAAACATTATGCGTGTTAGTTCTCAAGATATTATTGTACAATACATTGTTTGTGTTCCTTAAAATAAATAAATAAAATCTTTTTTGGACCCCAGTACTGTTATTTATTATTTTTAGGAAAACTAAATCCTAATATTTATAAACTGCCTTAATAAAAGCAGATAAGAATACACATTTTATCGGCTATCAAATCTTTTTAATTAAATATTCAACGGCAGGAAGCACAAAACACGCAGCTTTAATATACGCAATAACCGTCATTATTAAATTTTACGCAGTAGTTAGGATGCCACTTATGAATCCGCACATAATTCACGACAGCGGCACTGGCCTGAACTTCTATTCATTGAGTTTAGGCGGTAAGACACGTCAAACAAACTCGAGTGTGCGCTAAAGTGGGTACAACTAGTAGGACACGATATCGTCGCAACGTAAGCCGACGTAGACGCTCTACGGTCGTAGTACTGTGATCGGTCTCAGTCGCTTAGCAGCGCTCCACGCATCTAGACTCCGCCCGGCGGACGCTCTGAACCGCGCACCGGCGGGAAACTTATAAACAAATATCCCGACGTCTCCTCCTGTTTAGTACCGTCGATACGATACGACTAAATAAGTGTCCAGTAAAAAAACAGTTCTCTTGTATTTTTCGCCGGTCTCAGTAATCACCAGGTCTGTGTCTACGCGTGATGTAACAGTTTTCCCCCATTTATGATTGGTTTACCTTGTAAAAGCTAGAACCACCTATTAACTAATTTTTTTTTTAATTATCTCTGTTCGTGAAGTGACGCATGTGTGACATATAAGACAAAATTCAAGTTTTAATTGTTCAGGTAAATTTCTAATATACGGTGCTCCACACTGCAGACGGTCTGACCCCTTTCTCGAAAGAAACTTGCAAATAAAGAATAAATCTTGTACGGGTCAAGATTGATAGTTTGCGTGGAATACTACATAAGTGTCCGTATACGGTAATTCATCTGAACGCTTAGTTCAGAGGTAGTAGTGCAGTTTTAATGCATCACACAGGCGATATTGTACACTTGAGTGAGTCACGTACGTCTGAAGTCCGGCTAAGCCATTAAGTGTGCGCGGAGTTACAGTCTAATCTTGCAATAAAGAAGGACGGAGCTACAGAATGTTGTAAAAAATAGACGTGTTACGGTTTACGTGAGGAGTGTTGACTGGTTAGGGGGCGGACCGAAGGTCGGATGGTGTGCGATGGTGGCGCGATGTTGTGTTTGGAGTCGCTGATGGCGCGGTGGCGCGAGCGCAGCGAACGTGAGGGGGAGCGGCGCGCTCGCTCGCGAAGTCTCTGCTCCTCCAACGCGGATGGTAGTCTGCTCCAACTACTCCACAGAAGAGCGAGCAGTGCCATGTAAGTTCTAATAAAAAAAATGCGTAAAAAATTGATGTTAAAACTAGTTAAAACATAGAAGATGTTTGTATCTTTGAAATACACTTTAAAAAGTAAGTATCTTTTACAGCATCTTTTATTACCATTTATTAAGATAATAAAATCTGAAAGACCAGCATAACACTGTTTTAAAATCTCCTATAAAAGAACTTTAAAGGAAAGGCTTAACAGAATGCAGCAACATTGAATAATATTAATGGTCTTTATGAAACCACTTTTTGGTTATATATTTTGATGATTAACGGTTTATTATAAACATCATAATAAATTCCTTAACTATGATGTCTTATAGTAAATTCCTTTTTCAGAAAATTCCTTGCACGCTTTTTAAGAAAATTTATCTCATGGATAAACGCGAAGTTTAGAATACTTATGTATGTAGATATATTTGTGTGTGTGTAAAAACGGCCACATCAAGCAATAGGCATCGAGTATATACGGAGTATTTTGCTTATCAATGTACATAAGTCTTATGTATTTAATGACAGTTCAAGTCATACCATACAAGAAACTAAACGAAATACAACATTTTATTACGTATGTATGGTCGAAGACAACCAGATAATCTCTAATATGCCTTCACAAACTTTCATAATTGATTCTGCATAGTTTTCCATCGATATCCTCAGCATTTTTATACGAAGTGAACGAATGAAGATTTGAGATCATCAACAGCCTTTGATAGTCCACTGCTGAACATAGGCCTCTCCCTAGAAACTAGGTTTTGGCCTACTATATTACGCCGGCCAGACAGTTTTGTATATGGTTTGTTTCAAATTTTCCTTCTCTTTGCATTACTATTGTCCTGCGTAGTTTGCTGCCTTAGTCGGCTTTTACGACACCCACGGGATGAATACAAGTGGTAACACTCCGAATTTAATCCGTCGGCAGCATCATGAAGAATTTGATTTCCAAGGATTACATGATGATTAATTTGAATTCGTTAAAGTAAATTATAATAAGTAAAAACTAAATTTATATATTCTACAAAAAAAGTCATAAATATTTTTGTTTCAATTCAATTCCACGTTGCGGTTAATGTTGATTAACCGCAACGTGTAAGTACCCTAAGGATAGAACATATACGTACAGTGGTTATATTTCATATAATTTAAGATGAGCCAACCATCAGCTAAAAAATCAGTACTAACTGTAAATTTTCAAAAAACTCAACATCAAACCAATTGCATTTTATACCACGAAAACAAGGCACCTTTTTGATGTAAAAACGTTTTTAACACGCTTTTCTTAGCTTAGTATGTATGTAACGGAATCTTCGAACGTGATTTTGACCCACTTTAAATTGAAACTTCGCACACTTATCAAGAACCGATGACAATACAATAATTTGATAAATTTGGCTTATTATCCTGATCAGGATCTTCAGAATTAACGGCTTTTTCCATACCTAAAAATGCGGTAGTATCTTTTGCTACGTACTAAGAGGCGTGTGCTGAAGCTGATATGTGACTTACTTACTTGTTACTTTTTAGTCTTAATGAGAAAATAATCATCATTAATGACTGAAAAAACAAAAAATAAATTATAGTTTTAAAAAAAAACAAACTTTAGTAACTAGACGACGGAACTAAACGTCTAGTTACAAAAGCGTGTCTTTTAGTTTCTTTAAAGTATAACCTTATTTCGAGATAAGACTGCCGTGTATGAGATGTGTGAAGTTATTATTATTAATATTATTCTTAGCTTGTTTTTCTTCTATTTAAATAGTAACGAAATTAATATATATGCCTTCAATGTTAAAACTAACGTCCATTATATTTGCATGCTCACGCAAAAAAAAACAGATAGGTACTGTCATAGCAGACATTTTCTAATTCGGTCATACCAAGTCTTTTCGAATTTTCATTTTGCCCACTCTTTAATAACATAACTGTTTTCACCTTTGATAAAAATAACAAACATTATCGTGTACACCGTATAGCTCCCAATTGGTTTTATCTGTTAGTAACTCAGTGAAATTGGAGAAAAGCGAAGCCTCTCGTTTATGCAAGCAGTGTTAGGACCGTACGTCATCAATATTTCGTTTTGTTTGCGCAGCGGTATTTCCACGTAGGAACTTATATTCAAAATTGGTCGAATTTTTTGTTAACAAAAAAACCACTTCACTAAAACAAAACACTGTCTAAAACAAAATGTCTGACGACCGGATGGCGTAGTGGTTTGTGTAACGGACTGCTATTCCAAAGGTCGCGGGTTCGATTCCCGCTCAAGTCAAACATTTGTGTGCATGAACATTTGATGTTTGATTTGGTCTGGGTGTTTCTATGTATAATATGTATGTATTTACAAAAAAAAAAAAAAAATTGGTTGCCTGTAAAGTCGGTATACGGGCGAAAGTTTTACGTGACAACGACTATGTCTGTCTCTCTCGCTCTTAGGCGGCCTAACCATGCCCGATTGGAAGGGACGCGTGCCTCTCACTCGCTCTCATTTTGAGCGCATAACGTGAGCGGAGCGTAAAGCAGTTTCTTGAAGTGTCACCCGGCAAACCAATTTATAAGACGTTGTCACGTCAAAAAAGTATATATGTATTTATATCAGTTGTCTAGTACCCATAGTACAAGCTCTGCTTAGTTTGGGACTAGATGGCGTTGTGTGTAAAAAAAAAAAAAAAAAAAAGACTAAATTTTAAATTAAAATAGCATGACACTCGTTTTTTTTTTAAATTTGAATTTCGAATTGAGCGCCAATTAACAGATAATTAAATCTGAAAATGCTGGTTTCCAAAATCTGCAACTTCATAGGTTCATGAGTATTTGAAATAAAAAATGAGAATGATTTTTGAGTTGGCAAGTTTTCAAAATGAAAAACAGAAATAATCGAAGTGTGACGCACTTGGCCCTTTACTTGTCCTTTTCGAAGTCAATGAAATAAAAATGATGCCTTATTGCAACTGTTTTACGCTTTTAGGTACATGATAATGATATCCAGACAAATCTATACTAATATTATAAAGCTGAAGAGTTTGTTTGTTTGTTTGTTTGTTTGTTTGTTTGAACGCGCTAATCTCAGGAACTACTGGTCCGATTTGAAAAATTCTTTCAGTGTTAGAGAGCCCATTTATTGAGGAAGGCTATAGGCTATATATCATCACGCTAAGACCAATAGGAGCGGAGCACCAATGAAGAATGTTTCAAAAACGGAGAAAATTTATTACTATTGAGAGACGCAGACGAAGTTGCGCGGGTCAGCTAGTTAGGTATATAAAGCGATGAATTTTTTTCAGGAAATCAGAACCCGTGGAAGAGATCCATTCGATAAATCACGTGCTATACATGAGATATACCTAATTTAAACAGATATGGTTTTATTTTACGCGTTTGTTACATTACATCATTTTAATTATAACACACATGTAGAGATTTTACAAATTAGCCTAAAAATGATGTTGTAACTATTATGGAATTACATTTTTTTATTTAGATTAGAAGAATTTTACTCAGTTCATTTTTTATATTCCGCTGTATTTCTTATAAATCCAAACCGAACATCAGAAAGCCAGAAGATAAGTTGTTGCAACGTCCGAGTTACATCACCTAAAGCCAAGCGGGGCGTATGCCTGTTTTACTAACGTAGTAGTATTAAAAACATTGTCAGTCCAAAGCAAGGGGCAGAGCTGATCAAACAACAGATTGAATAAGGGCCACCTGATTGGGATGTATTGTTTAAAAGCTCGTTAGCAAGTAGGGTCAGGAGAGCCGATCCTATTGAAATCACGAGAGTTTACAGGCTCACGTTCAACATTCACAATGTGAAGGACTTTACTGTGAACGCTGAGCGGTTAGCTTGTTTGCCAACTTTGTACAAAAAGTCGGAGAATCGATTCCATAACTTAAAAACTGCGTTTAATTTATTATTTTCTGTTACAGCTACATGAGATTATTTCTCTTTACTAAAAATGCAAGTAGGTATAGGCAGCCAGAATATTATGACCGTAAAAAAACTAAAATGTGAAAGGTATCTGCACTTTATCAGCCCGGACAAGTTGTAAAATTTGACCCATGAAAAGGGTCAGTAGATAGCTGTGCACGCAACCTTTTGTTGGTTTTAGTAAATCTTGTTAAGGCTTCATCGGAATTTTTAGTCTGTTCTAGTCGCAAATGAAAATTCCAAAGCTTAAGCGTGGCTGGAAATCATGTTACGTTACCTTTTTAGAGGCAAAGCAATATTCTTCTTTTACTTTCTAAATAATCTAATTTTTATAGTATACCATGCTATTAATACTTGTTACTGAATTAAAATAAGATACTCAATTAAATGCTTGTTCTGAGTTTAGCACTTCAGTGATTACCACAACCACTAACCAAGCTCCAAAACATAACACCAAATGATTAGGAGGTACCTTTATTATACAGAATATTCGTGTTTTCTTGTAAATCTAGTCACCGGAGCTGTAGCTCCGACTAGCTGTGACAACCCATGGTTACTATAAGTGTAGTGACAAGTAACTATTTACCATCAGATCGGCTATATATTCGTTTACCAACTAAAGCCGGTTGGCATGTCCTTAATAAGATAATAAGTTTCATGCATAACATACTTATTATATATATAGTGTATTATTTGCTTATCTAAAGCGGCAGTCGTAACAGCAGCAAACCGAAATAGGTCAGTGGGGTAGAACGATGCTCTGCTGTTTCAATTTCTCAATTTCGTTTTGCCAGCGCCTAAAGCCGTAGCTACTTTTAATTATATGAAACTTCATCGACTCCTAAATTGATTTTCTTAATTTATATTTATAAGAAAATTATTTCCTAAAGTTTCCTGCAATATACATACCAAAACACATTCTGAGCCGCAAAAAATAAAATCTGTTTTTTTATTAGTCACATTCCCTATTACAATATTATAGTTAATATAGTATGTTCGTTTAGGAAAGTAAAAAAATATTGTTTTTTTTTCTTGATTTAAAGAAGGGCTCCTGACGTCGTCGTTATCAC